TTTCCTTATAAATGCTTTCATGAAAGTAATTTCAGTATACAAAAGAAGCCAACATACTCATATGCTGATATAATTATCATTGGATATTGTCCGATAATGATGATATTTATTATTCATTTGTATCTTACTTCGCAGGTTTTTGTAATTTTTTACTGCAGCTACTCAACTTTGTATCTCATAGGTCTAAAATTGCTATCCTATCTATAGCAAAATTCATGCATGATTTTTATTCTGAAGAGGTCATACAGTAAGCAAAGAAAATACCTTAACAATTGTTTTTAATGATTCCCGCTCTTCCTGAGCTAAGTAAAATTAATGGATTTCTTATCAATTTGAAATTAATTTACATGTAGACTTTAATTCTAACGAATTATGATACTTACATATTCGTAGTAATTAATATATAATATTGCGATAGTATACATAAATACACACTAGATTGTACGTTATTATTCATTTTGTGCATTTAAGTTAAACAGAAATAGCAGGGATGTAAAGTGGTCGAACAAACGTTATTTTAATGGTGTTATTATGAGTTAACTTTACTACGATATAACCGCACTATTTAAGACAAATGTACAGGAAATACGCGTTCTAGTCCGTAGATTGTTTTGTACATTACTTAAATTGATTCAACAGATATTTCAAAATAATTTTAAAGCGATGCCTGAAAAAACGTTAATTAAGTTTATCCAGGGAATACGTAGAACGAATAAGCTACTGATTATTATTTTCTTTCCCTGTTTCATTGGTAGGCTGTAGCTCTTTCTTTCTCTGCTCATATTTTAGAGCACTGCTTAGGAATGCAGCACGTTTGCTCCTAATTTCGTCAAAATATTAATTTCAATATTAATATCAGCAAATTAATACATAAGGATTTTATTCCAGATAATTGCAATAAAACATGCTAATACTGGACGAGCACAGTTCTAGATGAAACTCGCATCCAATATAGTCTGGCATAATCTATTTCAGTAATGTGCTACGCTTACAAAGGCATGGCAACTTTTCTCCGCGACATAAGCTTTTGAGAACAAGGTGACATCATATTGTCGGTTGGGCTTAGGCATCCCCTAATTTCAATAATAAGGAAGATTAATTCTCACATTTACTGTCTGCCAATACATGTAGAATGTACTTTGCAATTACATTCAATGTGATAATCCATGGTAGGGGATCCGACAGCATTATACTAGGAAATGATAATGTTCTACTGTACTGGATTAGAACTCGGTTAATACAGCGATAAATGATTAACTTATTCGTAGGCAACTAATTTTAGATTTGTATATACAGTTGTACAGTACAGTAAAGTTTGTAAGCACAACATAGTTTTCTAGATTCGTAATAGAGCTTCAGTATGACTACTATTTCTTTTGCGACTACTTTTGTAACACCAATGTTAATTACAAAGGGATACATATCGCACGATGATACTGCTTGAATTCTATCATCAGTGATAATCACATTGATATAACTATATTATATCTTATCCAGCTGCTTTTGTATCGAATATTTGGCGTTCCTAACATAGTCAAATATCAATCATTCTTTACTGCTTTTTAGGAAATGATTTATTAATGCAATACGCTACTGGCGTGATAATGTGACTGTAATGCCAACTTATAAGTAGTCCATTAGAACAAAGTGTTTTGGAATATACTTATACGTACATAATACATATACGTGGGTTGCATCAACATTAGCAGTTCATATGCTATCTTTCATATATAGTCAATTTACTGATGCATACCACTTGTCAGCATTTTTGCTGGATTGAATTCTTTTGATTTCTGCGGGAATGTTGTACTTTGGTTCTTGCGGTATAGGCTCACTGGGTTTTGTATCTTTAATTTCAGCCATAATTTCTGGATTTCAATTTATTCTCGTTTCGATCTATAAGAGATACATATGTGTACAGTATAGAGGGATTGAAAAGAGTGTTGGAAAGTAATTTATCTTAATAAGTTTTCAAATTCCAACGGTTACTATCTGACACATTAGTTCAACATCATAACTACTAGCACTGGAAGAAATTTAAATATTACTTGTCTTTGCAAGCAATGTATCTGAAGATGCACTATAAGAATACATGTATATCCTAGCATCAGTGGACCGGAGTGCTGTAAACAATCTGAGACTAATCTTGAATCTATTTTAGTAAAGTTCATGCAAACTATATTTCGGTAGCACCAATGAAAAGTATAGTAAAATTGAACGTAGTGTCGTGAATGGGTTGAAATAAAGCAATTTGAGGTTGGGATCAGGTTTATTGGAAATTGTTTAAATTGTGTAAATGTTCAATTAAGATCAGAAGGTTTACTCGTCCAGTTGTTGAAAATAATACTGACCACTGATGGATCAAGTATACTTTGATCAATTCGATTGTAGAATACGAATTAATCCATCGACTTTATGAACAGACTTGTTGTGCTTGTACAATACACTATGCAGTGTTCGCTCCATGCGATATAGAATTAATTCATTCATCGAGTAAATCGAACATTAAAAACTTACTAGATACTTACTGATAATTGCTTTCAAATAGAGTTGAAGAAAATCGATGCACCAAATTGTGTTTCAATTCTTTCCGTATTGACGGTCGGCAATGGGAAGAGTAATGTTGATGACAGAATATTGGTTGACGTTACTGCGGCGTACGGTACTAAACAATGATCACAATGTATCGATTGTGTTATCTAAAATGTTCAACTATCTTCTGCTTTGAGACGATCGAATTTATTCGATTCTGTTCTGTTTACTCTATGTATTTCATGAAATAATAACACTACTGTAGTCCCTACCGAGCTACGAAGCGATCATACAGTAAGGAACGGAACAGCGATAGTCAAAGTTATAATTTCTCGGCTACGATATCATAGACATACCAAGTTACAGTACTGTACTAGAGGCGTGTTGGTGTAAAAGCAGGTGTAAAAAATTTTTCAAATTTGAAAAAATTAACGATCATCCTAACGCATTCTGATTGGTGGATTATGTTGCTATCTTATCCAACGAGAATTGATCATGTGATTACATTGACAGACATCACAGTCAACAGTGAGTGTACAGTACAGGACCATGTTTAAGGTACAGTATTGTATTGCAGGAGTACTCTACGCTACTGGACTGTATTGTGACTCACATACCATACTGTACCGTACACTGAGTATTGACGATTGAGTAACAGTACTGCACAGTCCTGTACAGTGTACAGTGTACAATACTTAGAGGCATACTGTAGCGCTACTGTACTGTACACTGTACAGTACAATATTCCAATCATGAAATCTCTTGTGATAGATAGCTTTCTCATCAATCATTATGCAGTACTGTACAGTGTGCAGTATAGTACAGTATAGTGTAAAGTTCTGAAAAGAGAAGTCACAGTAACCATCACTGGCGATGCCTAGTAAGACAGCTAATTAGATCGTGAAATTCGAAAGTAATAATTTGGTGAGCTTTTTTAGCTTTTCAGGTGAGGAAAGAATTGATTTACTATAAAATAAAATATGAGACAACCATGACTTTTGTAGAATAGGTTGTAAGTGTGCTAGGTTCTGTACATGCTGTCATTTTGGCACTGCAATAGTTTAGTACTGTGTATTACTTAGCGTTATTCAAAGTACGCGCTCAGGCTAGCTCAGACAGACATCGAAACACTCAGGCAACGATTCATTTGGCAACATTTCCAACTACAGCGGTAAATGACAGCGATAAATTAGATAATACGTTATAATTTAAATATATATGGCATTCCGCAGTTGTAATAACGGCAATAACTTATAACTTATTGTGTACCTTAAAGGAGAAAATTGAACGCTTTTACAAGTTCCTGGTCCTACTGATCTCTCCTTCGGAATCGATCAATTGACTACTATTGTTTAATACTACACTATGCAATATAACTGTACAATACATGCTGTAGCGTAAATTTGACACAGTACTCCGAAAATTTAAAATTTGAAATTCAATTTGAAGAAAGAACTAATTAATAAAATAGAATCATAATTTGCAAAGCCTACTGTAATAAAATGAACTCAGTATCTTCAGATAACATTGAACTTATACAATCTCAATGTTTTGAAACTGACTAGAGACATTGCTAGCAGATATAATTAAAAAATTGGTGTCTAGTAGTTGTACTTTTGTATATAGTATTACGGCCGTTTTTATTGTTGGAATAATACTTAATATTATGCACTTATTCATCGGCTCTTAGGAGTGGCCTTTGCTGTGGTGAATAATGAGTACGTTAGATACATTTACTTTAGGATATGAAAGAGACAGTTCGTTAATTTCCAGGAGTCCACCAGAACCATTCGGGGTAGTGTGATGGTGACGTGTTTGTACTCATTGTGCAGAACAACGTATTAGTGCAATATCGTTGCCACCTTGCAAAGTCGTGCACTGTTGGGAAATTCTCACGTTAACAAATTTACACGTAATGTGACATATACAATTTATAAATGGAAAATATTGAATCGAAACTGTTTCCATTAGAAACTACATGTACTCGTATATTGTAATACATAATTTACGAAAAGAAGACAAAGGACTGGAGGGCTATATAGTTTATTCCTATATCGCAAACGGGAATTCAGGTCGAATCGTTGCTGTTCGACGGCAATACACATCTACGCGTATGGTCCTGATGATTTAGGAACTTCTATAGTCAAATCAACTGTTACTTGAAGCCCCAATAAGAAAAGGAGCAACTACTGTACAGTACACGTGAATTTGTAAAATCACATAGAGTTTACATAAATGACCTCGTTTGGCAGTCTTAGTAATTGAATTCCTTAAAGCGGATACTTTACTCTTGATGCACTCTAAGTATTACTTAATAGAGGTTGCATATTCATCATTTTGCTTTTCTTAATACTGTATTCATCATCATGCCACGCTTATATAGATCCCCGGCACATAACTCCGAGGCGATTGATGATTTCGCAAATTCTTTAGAGGCAACGTTCTAATCATTGGTGTTGATCGGATCAATGCAAGCGAGTCAATTAGCTGAATACGACGATATTGCGATCAGCCTGGTTATTGACCCTCTGCTTGGGTTTAAAACGCATAAGATGAACCCCAAGTTTCGCTGGGTTACCTGCAATAGAGAAGAGCTGCGAAGTATCGTCGAAGAGTACATATCTTCAGGCAATTTGGATGAAGCGTGTAATGGCATTTTATCTACGAAGTGGGCATGCCATTATTTGATGAATAAGGACCCGCTTCAAAAGCAACTTTTCAAAGAGCATGTAAGGAATACTGATTTGAATATTATTTAAAAAAATACTCTTTCAGTCTTTTGCTTGATTTGATTTAAAATAATAATTGCACTGTTGTGAAGCTTTTAGGTAATAGGTATATTTCACTATCCGCTTTCAGTAGATTATGCAATGTTATCAACTGTCAATTTTATATATTAAATTTACGAAAGTTTTGCATAGTGTAAATTATCATCATTTTAGTTGTAGATTTGGTACAAAAGTTAATAAATTTGCTGAATATGAGGTGATGATACAGTTCTATTTTGCAGTTATTGCTTAGTACTCAAGCTAAATGAAGACTAACATATAGCAGTAGCTTTGCATGATTAACTTCAGTAGTTAAGACTTGAGCGGGATCAATTTGCAGATTAATTTGTGCCTAAGTAGTGTTTGCTGTAAAGTTACTGCGTGCCTTGGTTCTTAATATCATATTCTGTCTAACTATAGCTATGCCGTTATCTACGAGTTTTTTCGCCAAATAGTGGCTTCAGCATTTTGCCAGTCAGGCGATACTCTGCAGAAAAGTTAGAAGCAAAGATAAGCGTAACAACGGAATGGTATGATATTGCATTAGCACGCTTCTGTTATAATTAAATATACTGCAAAGTGAAGTTTAAATGATACCTCGTTGCTAAGGCATTTACTTCATACCTTACGTTACTGGTATGATGGCTTGACTAAGACATCTCGTAAAGCTACTATAGCTTGTACAGTGAAAGATAGCAGATGTATTATTAAATTTCGTTCATCGCTTGCTAAGAAGTTAATGCTTAGATTTGGTTTAAATAAATAATATTCTTGTTGTACTGTAGGCTGAAATCGAGCAAAATACATGATCTATGTGGTTGTATTGCTGAAATGACAGAAGATGAAGAGAAGCGTCTCCTTCTGCCCGGGGAGAATGATTTTAGTATCATGTTTTCTACCAGAAAGAAGTGTTCGCAGTTGTGGCTTGGGCCTGCGGCCTACATCAATCACGGTTAGTTTTAATAGTAGCTAATGTAAAACGATGGGCTTATCAACTATTTCTTTGCTGTTGCTATTTATCGCAAGTTAGTATTTACTCGAAGTTAAGTTGTAAAATGGACGTTTGGCTACTGATAGAAATTAACATTTAATTTAAATAAGATGTTTATAACCATTACTTTGTTCTTTTTCGGGTACCAGACTGTCGACCATCTTGTAAGGTAATATTGTAAATGACGTACCCCGCTGAATTAATCATGAAATAAGAGCCTTAATTTTATATCTATCTATTTTTGGATTGATTGTATACAGTTTATCTCCACCGGTAGAAATACAGCTTGTGTAAAAGTTCTTCGCGATTTAAAGGCCGGTGATGAAGTTACTTGTTATTACGGTGACAATTTTTTTGGTGATAACAATAAGGATTGCAAGTGCGAGACATGTGAAAGGTATATTGCTACTGCTATTCATATCTCTTAGCGCAAACTTAGCCTTATATCGGATTACGTGGATGTATTGGAATATACGTATGTTCAGTAGTTAAACTAGTGAACACTATTACTTTCATTTTTATTTGTTTATTGTACTACTACTTGATACTGTAAGCGGTGAGAAATCTTAATTTGACATTGCGTAATGAGAAGTCTGCTAAATTTATGTACCTCATAAAAGTATCACAGACTGAGAGGGGTATGCATTGTTGTTGTAAGCTATATTAGTATACGGCATAAACAGCTCACTGAATTCTATATCAATTTATAGGAGACGTAGAGAGCAAGCAAATGGGTCTCTAAAGCGAATTAACTATTCACTCCGAGAAACAGATAATCGATTAAAATTTAGGAGGCTTCATTCGGCAGACTCATTGTCATCAAGCCAGTGTAGCGATTCGTCAACGGGTGCTTGTGAAAAGCTTCAACTAGATTCCAATTCTGAAGCGCTAAAGGAAATACCAAATATTTGAGAATAAAAAATGAGTGGTTAATGCAATAGCATTGCTATAATGCATAATTTTGCTGATATCTCTTCCAAGTCAGCACGAAATCAGTATGTTACATATCAAAGTTCCGGTGACGCTATACACGTTTTATGCCGTGTTGCTTTCTAATTTTTAATTTTACTTTATACCACTAGTTCTGTTGCTGCAACATTCCAATGGTATTGAGTAATAAATGTTCTAACCGCAGTTTTGTAGCTTAGTTTGTCCTATACCTTGGATATATAGATGATTAGTATTTATGAAATCTATTCATTATGAGCAGGTAGACTGTGAGTTCTCGGCTATGTAGTATTCAGATGCTTATTTAGCATTTTTAAATTACTTCTATCTTTATTGTGTATGGCTAAGTCCATAAATTTTATCGTCAAATATGATAGTATTACTGTACCTTTAGACAACATACATCTTACTCGAAACGATAGCGTATTATATTGACCAGAAATTTATTGAAGTATGCTATCAGGTATTCTATCAAGTTTAAATGCATTTACTTGTCTGTATTGTAGTATGCACATACTGTATTAAAACGTAATGAGTTTGAGCGATGACGTACGCTGTTTTGTTGCAGTGTATCAAGAGCATTTTAAGCGCTCACATCGGAATCAACTTAGAAATAATAGAGCTTTCAGTTCTTCTATATAAAAATTATAATTTAAATTAACATGCTCGTAGACTTTTGTGCGCTCTTTCCATTCTTCAGATTTTTTTGTTCTTTCCTTGATGTAACCTCATTCTTTGTATATATATATATATCTCTATATTCCGCAGCGGTTATACAGTATCTCAAGCAATTTGCTATTTCATGAATATGCAACAAATTCAACTTTATTGAACGTCTTGTTCGAAGCGTGATCGTACGATATACGTACCGATATGAGTATACCTTATAATATACATTATTAATTTTTGTCTTTACTGTAAGATACAAAATGTAACATCCCTGTGCAGGTTTACATGAAATATTTTCCGTTTGAAAACCCCAAGTTTGGTGGTAATTGGGGTAATAAACATCAAATTCTCGTCGTACTAATTTTGGTTGTCATTAGAATGCTTTTACAGTGATATTATTTCTTATAAACTGATTTTCCTTGCTACTGTGATATCGCATGCACTGTGCATCTGCTATAAAATGAACAAATACTTCTAAAGAGGTAATTAATAGGCATCGTTCGTCTCATTGCCAAGGACACAGTTCATCTAGCAAATATGATCCTGAGTGTTGACGCGGAATTCAAATAAAATTTATACACGTGTTGTGTTTCAACATTTCGAATTCATCAAGGGATCTGTTGCAGGATATTGAATTAATTTACTACAAGTAGATACGAATATGCTGCGTAAAAATGATCTAGTTTAGCTCTGGAAGATGCATTTTAATCTACTTGTAAATGTATCAACTTTCTAGCATATCCTTCTCTGTTACACTTTGAACAAGTTCGGTAAGGCAAACAGGAATATCTACTGTACTGTTAGTACAATTTATCGAACACATAGACTGTACACTATACTGTACAGTGTACACTCACCAATAATTAATAGCACGATTAGCTGCAAAGGTGATTGTTGAATGTTGATTGAAGGGCAGTATTTGCTTCACTGCCCTGCGTTTCACCTTGTTGTAGTGAAGTAATGCCATTGTTATACTGTAGTGTACGGTATCGGTATTCATTACACTAACAATAATAATTATAATTCATGATTATTATGGTTACAATCCTCATTTCAGTGACAGGTAAGTTCAATAATTCGTACTACTGAATTGATAATTTCATTGAATTTCTCTGAAAAAAATGCTATTTAATAATAATAGGAAGGCTTTAAAAAATTTAGCTGTAGTTTATTCTTGAAAGTTATGTTTCTATTCTTAACACCTGCCTAATAACATCGTAAAGTTCGAAGAAATGTCGGCCATCATTGTAGTAAATAGGTTTTAACGATTACAGGTATTATTATTAAACTACAGTAGTTACAACTCATAATCAATTCATTGGCAGATACTGTAAGTACGTAGCACTAAATTTACAATTTCATTGAGCTTCACCCTGCGCTTCAAATTCAACTGTGGCGAAGCATACCAGTAGTGTCATCATTATGCATACTGCAATTAGGTTATATTGACTGTACTCAACGATTACAGGTATTATTATTAAACTACAGTAGTTACAACTCATAATCAATTCATTGGCAGGCACTGTAAGTACGTAGCACTCAATTTACAATTTCATTGAATTTCTGTGAAAAAATTCCATTTGAGAATGAAAGGCTCCAAAAAAATAGTGGCCATAATTATAATTTAAGCTTCAGTATCATAGCGCTTGGCCTACCTAATATCTTAAGTTTCGAAAGGATGCTTACACCAATCGTTTTACTTTAGTTTATTTTTTCAAACTGTGTAAGGTAGTACTATGTAAGTGGTTATGGTTATGAAAAATTGGACCTGAATTAGCAGTCATAGTCTCATTTTGCGAGAGATGCAGCAATAGTTTGTAGGGGAATGCAATTTATATATAATTGATTCTATCTTCTCGAGGTGGGATCATAGTCTACTATTGGATTAATTTACTAGTCATGAGAATATTTCGGTAACGTAAAATAGTTACTCATTAATGGACTGTATTAATATGTTAAAGTTTTCTGCCGTGTTTTTTACATAGAGTTATTCTTGAACAGCGTGGTATCCAAAATTCGCAAACGCATTAATGAATTTATGTACAGTATACGCTATCTATGTGGACTTTGCAGAGAGTTTTGTGTGCCTACAGTATTTGTGAAAAATACCATTTTCTAGCAGTTATTTGTGTATCTGGTCCTAGAAATCTAGCTAATTTTAAAACTATATATATAATATTATTGACTGTGATTAACGTCTAAAATATATTTAAACGGGTTTATTTTATCCAAGTAGACTCCAATTTAATTTGGTTTGTTATAATAATATTTAAACATGGCTATCGGGAGAAAGAGGAAAAGTGAAATTTCTCCGAAGCAGAAAAAGCGTTGCAATACTTATTCTAAAGACTTGAAAAATGATAATTTTGAAACCGATAGCAAAGGTATGAAGGCATATTGCGTAAAAAAATGGATAATTTAATTTTCGTACTTGTACCAAGCGTATAATTGTCCTTGTCTTGCATTAACTGATGTAATATGTAGCTATACTCTCAATTTTAATCTAAATTAACAATTCTACAACCATGTTGTAGCTCTTAAATAGAACTCATTGATTAACCATATTATAGATATAGGAAAACATTCACCAAATTCAAACACTGAAAGCGACACCGGCGTAATATCTGAAATTTCTGACGGCGATTATAAGGACGAAGATGTAATTACCGGACCTGAAAGTATTGGGTAATTACTGTAGTAGTGGTAAAAACTTTCTCTTTCCTGTCTGTTATGAAATTGACAGTATGACGTAGTACAGAAAAACTAGATCAATACCTTAAGCTGAAACGAATTATGGGTGATTGCTAATTTGCAATTAGAAATTTAATAACATGCGTAGTACAATATACGCAGCTCGTAAAGCTCTTATACTCTAGTCCAAAAGAACGTTCGAAAATATCGCACTATAGTGTGAGATTTTTTAATTAAAATGTACCTAAACATTTGTGTTTGAAATCAGTAACGAAGTTCAGAAACTCGTGGATGGCTTGAAAGGTATTTGGGAAGCCCTATAAAGGAAATCTCTTATCGAAATTGAACACTGTTGTCTATGCCTAAGCTAATTTCGATTTTTTAAGAATAAAATATGAACTATTTTGATAAGACATTGTCACAGTACGTACTTAATGGCGGAACTTTTTCTTGACTTACATCGTTTAGTAAATGTATCAAAATCACTGAATGTAAAGCAAAAGCTATTGGAAGAATTTACCTTATCCTCCTTGTCATCAAGCAAGAAAAAGGTAGAAGAGACTTGGATAGCTCACAGAAGGGATCGGTAACTAATAAATAAGTTTATGATACTGTATTTCTGAAAATTTAGCTTAAACCATTTGGCAATTGGTGATTCCATTTGTCGTAGATAGTACAGTACCGTGTACTTTTATCCTTACATATATACTATTTCATCCATTAAATTTTGGAAACTAGTAAAGAACTGACGGAGAATTTTGAAGCTACTGTTTCTAATATAATGAATTCTTGGAAAGAAGAAATACAAGATAGTAAAAGATTTGAAGATAAAGTACATGTAAGGATAATATATTGAGTTTATATTGAAGAAGAAAGTATATTAAGGGAGATATTACCTATGTTACAGTATATCTTGTTTTGCGATACTTTCTAGGCCCTTCTTCAACAGCATCAAGAATTGCTTATGGAAGTCAGAAATTTGCATGCTAAATATTTGACACATTTGCATGAATCGTGCAAAATGTATGTTGATTCTATCAGCAGTATTGACGAACGCTATGAAAAGCGACTTGCTAGCGCTCACTGTGCAATTAAGAAAGAAGCTCAGGGATTGAAGAAGAAAACTTTGCAAAGGATGGTAAACATTTTTAAATATTTCTTACTTTAGAACGCTACTAGGTTTTCAGGTTTAAAATCAAGGCGAAAATAATTCTCTCTTCGTGCAATTTTAATGGTTTTACTGTCTTTCTTACAGCGGCAACAAGAAATTGCTGAAGTTAGGAATACACTTCTTTTGAAGGATGTATTGTATGATGTCTAGTAATCGTATTCAGGATGTAGTTATTCTTGCTATTTTTTCAATATCTGATGTTTCTTAAGACTTGTAAGAGCAATAACTTCGTGATTTAGTTTAGAATTCTTTGTTCGCAGTATTAGTTTGTGCTAGTAAATGATTGACGGATATTATATTTTTCGCGGAAATCCAATTATTGTCGCGTGAAATTGCTTGAATAGGTGGTTTCGAACTTGTGCATCATCCGTTTGAATGCTCCTTTATTGCATTTTGTGTCAAATATGATACATTTAATTTAACAATACCCTACTTTGTCATATACAGCAACATTAATTAAAGCATGCTCCGCTTAAAGAAGAAAAAAGTCGTTATATTGTACCGTAGCTGTTACGTGACATGTCTACAATTTAGCACTGAAACTTTCAAATCTAAGCTAATGATGATATCATTAATAAAGTATGGTTACATAATTTGCGTAAATATATAATATGCACTCAATTGTAAGTCTCATCAACCGCGATTAGTTGAAAGATAGGTGCGAAACAATCCTGGCCTTACGCAACATATTAGTTTTTACGTCATTATATTGGCATTCAATATTTCACTAAAAGAGCCGTATAATAGTCGATAAACTTTCGCTATAATCCTATGTATAAGTATAACCTATTTTGTCCTTATTATCTTTTAGAATTTGAATAACTAACCTTAGCAATGCCATACTCGAAATCGGAAAATATATAAACTATGCTATGCTATTGCCGGAAATTGGGAGAATAGTAATATTATATATCCATGAGTTGAAACCTAATTTTTACGCTGACTCAGCGTAAAGACTAAAAATTCTTAAAGACGGCTTTTTATTGCGTGGTTTTCCTTTCTTGGACTGTAATTAAGTGTAATTAACGAATGATGTTAGTAAATGTAAATAACAGAATTATAATGTAAAGCTGTTACCTGAAAAGCTTGCGATTTTCTTTGTTTCTGATCTTTAACAAATAATTTTTAAAACGTTCCATGGCTAGAAATTTTATTATGAATGAAAATATATTTACGAACCCTTTTAAATCTTATTTGGAAAGGTAAATTATATTAGATCTTACCCAAGGTAACATCCGCCACCGGCAATGAAAAGATGATTCTGTACCATCCGCGTTCACTGCAATAAAAGGCAAATCCAGGAGCAGTTCCAACGCCGTTTTCTGCCAGAGACAACCAGAGCTTTCTTTCTCCTTCCAAATCAACCGACGGCATGAACTATACGATATGTGAAGTACTGAAATTAGTCACTTGGAAATACCAAGTCATGGTCACTTTCACAGAATAAAATAGTAAATTTATGATGACCTTAGGGCATATTAAAATGACATGAGAATAGTTACTACTCATGTAATATAGCATTAGTATTAAGCTCCTGTAATTATTTAAGATAGTAGAGCCTTTAATACTCATAATACCTTAATCAAGTCTATCCATACAAAGAGTCCAGCCTTAGGGATAACGTATCGAATATCTAATTCATCAAGAGTTTGACGTACTATTCCGTAGCTTTCCTTTAATCGTCGACGCATGGTAGGGAAGTAAACGTTGTCAAGCCAATCTTTGAAAAATATCAATTTATTCGCATAGTAAGTAACATTTCAATCAATCGTTACATCAATCTAATTTAACGCAAAAGCTTACGATACCGTAATCAGTGATCATATTGGTCAGTTGTTTCTGTAAGATATAGAATGAAATGAAGAGATTGATAAATTACGTTGAATACATTCCTAAATTTATCCAAAGCGTCATATTTATTGCAAAAAGTAAAACTATACGGACTTGCGTTGGAGGTGATATTCCACTAAATCGAGAGCATGCCCCTGCTGCTGCTGCAAGTTCACTGTTTTGCGTCCATAGTATTCCTGCCCGGAGACCGGAACTAGCAAAGTCCTACGTAGAGGCGTTTGCAAAATTAATGTATCTGCTTTAAGTGTAACGAAAACACGGCAAATGTGCGATTGAGATTTAATAGAATAGGCACAATAGTGGCTAATCCTCTATCAGTGCAGTTGCTATTTCTTATATTGTTACATTATTATTTGGCTAAGCTACCGACATACTTTACTGAAAGCCCAAATGAAATGGGTTCTCTTAGGATCGGGTAGTCTGCAATAAGTGATGTTTCATAAATTACTCAAGAAATGTTTGACAAATCAAACATCGTACGTAAAATTTGTTTGCTTACTCATTAATCATGCTCAGCACGCTAATAACATCAGCATCAGGCGCATGGCTGGACAAGTAATAGATTTCATCGAATATAATGTGGAGTTCATGTCTATTATGTCAAAAAAACAAGATAGGCTTATAAGTTATCGGCTACAATTTTTTCAAGTATTTCTAAAGCGAATTTGACCTATGAGCAAAGTCTAGATAATCCTTAATCATTTGCTTCGTGAAATAGGAAGCTGAAGGATTTACAGGATTAGAAAATAAGAAGCCTTTAACCCTTTTTCCCTACAATAAAGTATCAGTTACAAAGTTACTATTAATAATATAATACAGTACATTCAATTCTGTATTTATTAATAAGAGTATTAACAAGTACAGATGGCATAAAGACTCTTTAAAATTAATAAATACCAACCTGTGATACTGCTTGCTGCAATGCTTTCTCTAAGGCTGGAACAGTTAATTGAAAAGGTTCCAAATAAGGTTCTTTAATCTAGAAAACATGAAATGTAATCAAACTCTAAGCATTCGATTAGCAGCTTCTGTCGGCGTAAACTTTCAGACTTGTTAAGTTTCAGGCATACAGCCCCGGAGCGTTACCTCAGACGTAAGGTCCACTGGAAATAATCGAACTTGCGACATGAACGACAAATCAGGTGCAAACGCACCATAGTAAGGGGATGGGATAAGCAAATATTCTATCAAAAATTATCAAACCTTCAGTATCATTATCTAGGCATATTTCTCATGAACTACAGTCAGTTACAAACTAATTTTCATTATCAGCTTTGATACGGAGATCAATACTGGTGATTAGCCATAGTGAATAAGTTTGAAGGTCAGACCTTAAACTAATTTAATTACAATTCGTATTAAGCTAAAGGTTATTCATTGCTATCAAACTCTCCAGTTGTACCTTCTGGGTCACATACAACACTACCAACAATGTTAATTATGGGCCCTGCGCCACATAAACCGATTAGCTATAAGAAAATACATTTATCAGTGAGTAGTTTAATTATAATTTTAATGTAGAGTACATAAATGATCTAAGTCTGCTCATGATTTATATAACAAAATATAACATACGATTATAAGGTGCATTTAACAACACTGACAGTAAGTCTATAAATGAAGTTCAGTAGTGTCCTTTATGAGCAATCAGACAGTAAAGATTCGTGAAATTATCATTTGCAAACTACAATGTATGTATACAGTCACAGTAATACTGGACATTTAATACAAATATCTATTTATCTCATTTGCAATGGTATACCTCTTCCTTCAGTACAGGCCTTGATGCTTTAAAATATTTTGTCAAGAAATTTGCCATCGCTTGGAGGAAACTGTGAGGGTATAAAAAACCGATGGTCAGAACCGAAGTGTATAGTTTATATATGACATTGCTATCAACGTTTGTGTACGAGTATTCTAGTGACTTACTGCACTATTATGTAGAATTTTATCATTTATTTGGAATTCATTATATGTAGTTATACATGAAAATATCTTACTAATCTCTGCCAATTAAGTTTCCGTAATATAACATTTCTTCAGTAATTTCGATACCCTCATTCAACTTAATAAGAAAGTTTTATTAATTCAAACAAAACTATTCGTATACAGTCGAATTGCTTTCTTCAATCAAGATTTGTAAAATTAACAACGTTTGCACTTAGTATTTCGCTACGTAAGTTTCTCAATTGTTCATTGTAATGACCGAGTAATAGTCATTTTCTATTACATTATAACTAATTATACACATTGAAAGTTTATCAAGTTCGTATTATAGATAGATTAATTTGGAACACTGATGCTGACCTTGGGTAGTAAAATATCGGATACTGTCTTATTTTCGCTTGTATTCATATTGATTATTCCCTAAATAACAGCAAGACATTTTCTAACATTAGAGGATATGACTGAGGCCATTGCTTTTAATACTACGAACAAAATGATATATTTATCCGAGGAAATGGAGTCTTGAGCAGTCAAGTAGCAAACTCATTCCTTAACTAATTCTGCAAACAGATTGAATGATGCAGGAGGGCAATCAGTACATACGCGTATGTACTTGACAAAGTGATTAGGGATTTAAGTGAGATAAATATAAATGATTATTTAGCTAGACCATTACTACGATCGCATCATGATAACTCTCTAGCTGCTCTATTTTTTTCTATGCCTTTCATAGTTTATTACTGGGTAATACTGCATCGCTTTCACTTTACCTGTGGATTCGATTTCGGGTGGTAAGGGTTTTTCTGCCACAACATATACGCTTCAAATAGTGTATCTTTAAACGAAATAATGTCATTGCCACGCTTGGACAGACAGTTTTGGTTATCATTCGAATGAATGGAGCTCATAGTGATGAAGCTAACAGGTAAAAATTAGCTGGAATACGATAGATTTTAAAGTCTTATTACGACAATGCAGGTTTAGCTTTAAGATAGAAACTCGCAATCTTCTGGTGAACAGCAAATGAAGATTTGCCAGCTATGGGCTTTGATGTTGGTACTGTACTATAGTTCGCAGTTACTACCATCGCACGCCATTTGTACAGTACAGTACAGTCAATGCCTGTACGAAACGTACTATCCTGTACACTGTACAGTATAGGGTAGAGTGCTATGACAACTTTTTGGCTTGAAATTGATCTGGACGAGTCTCTGTCGCCATACTGATCTCAATGGCAGGCTACGTAAACAGCTCTGAAACGCCAACCGTAATTCAAATACAGTTCTTTAATTAAAAGGGCGTTTTCTAGTACATTTTCCGGGCTATCGGGCAATGTATAAGAAATTTATTGCGGGAAATACAAAACTATGTTATAGTCTTACTAGATCTTTCGGAAGATTAGGGTAGTAATCGGTAGAAGCAACTCGACGGAAGTGCTTGACATTAGACTAGTAAACTTATCAGGAAGTAGTCCGTGACGTCATATTAAATTAATATAAGTGAACATGGAAGTTGGAATACATGAGTTAGGATCTATAATACACAACACTAATTAATGGCTCGATAAAATCTCACTTTACGTGTAGAATAAGCTAATTAAATTTTTAGCCATGAACAAGTAGCAATAAATTATTATCTTGGAGCATCGAATATCCAAGCCAATTTTGTTTCTGCTACTAATTCTACCTGTCAAGGAATTTGCTGCAAGGAGTATGCTATACGAGTATCTGTTTCATTCTTAATAATATTAATATAATTTTTGATAGTTTCCTTTTACTTTGCACTTCGCATTGAACTGAGCTACTACTGTATCATCTTATTTAAAGACGAAAAAAGTCGTTATCTTGTAAAGTAAATGTTACCTGATATGTTTGCAATTTAGCACTGAAACTGCCAAATCTAGCTAATGATGGTATCATTAACAAAGTATGACAACATAGCTGCGGAATCGAATAATATACACTCAATTGTAAGTCTCATCAGCCGCGATTAGTTGAAAGATGAATACCAAACAATCCTGGTCTTACGCAACAATATAAATTTTACAAACTCGTAGAAACTCTGTGTAATGTAACTAGTATTGTGATTGTAGACTGTTAGCCATGTTTAGTATAATGTACGGTAGATGTTTATTCTAAGAGATATTTGGTAGCTATAACTATAGACTGTAGTGGTAGAGACTCCATGCTAGAGTACAGATGACTATATACAGTAAGGTGTTGAGTTACTAATAAGGCTATAGGTAAAAATAGAACTGTAAATCATATATTAGGATATGGTTAATTCATTGTACTTTGGCTGGTGTGAATAATGTCTACATAAGTACTGTAGTCGTATCCATATTGGATTAATGATGGTCCGCAGTAGAATAATCTGACTAAGAATAATTTAACTATGTGTAATATAAGGTAAAAGGTTGCCATGCGGATTGTAGCTGCGAATGCTACGAAAAGTATAAAAGCATGTAACTTTAGATTATTCTGTTAGTTCGTTGTAGAAGTCTTTAGTAGTAGTATTCGGCTAAAGTAGAGCTGTGTATAGTTGATCTTTGTATAAGATTCAATAAAGCCCTTATTTTTCTAAAATTTGGAATCTCGTGATTGGTATATATCACACCCTGATAATTCCATTAAAGCCCGTAACAGTATATACTCGTACTTGCGTAATTTTATTGATACTTAATATTTCACTAAAAGAGCCGTAGAGTGGATAAACTTTCGCAATAAACCTGCGTATAAGTGCAACCTATTTTATCTTTATTTCGAAATTTGGTTAATTAATCTTAGCAATGCCATGCTCGAAATAGGAAAAACATATAAATTACGTTATGCTATAGCCAGAAATTGAGAGAATGTTAAAATTATATGTAAATGAATTGAAATCCAGTAATTATGAGCTGACTCATAGCGTCAAGATTTAAAATTCTTCAAGACCGCCATTTATTGTGTAGAAATCCTTTCTTGGACTGAAATTAAGTGTAATTGACGAATGATATTAGCAAATGTAAATAATAGAATTGTAATTTATGATGTAATAGTGTTACCAGAAAGTTTGCGATTTTCTAAGTTTCTGATCTTCAATAAATAGTTTTTAAAACGTTCCATGGCTAGAAATTTTATATTGAAATGAAAATATGTTCACAAACCCTTTCAAATCTTATTTGCAAAGGTAAATTATGTTATATTAGATCTTACCCAAGGTAACATCTGCCACCGGCAATGCAAAGATTATTCTGTACCATCCGCGTTCACAGCAATAAAAGGCATATCCAGGAGCAGTTCCAACTCCATTTTCTAAAATAGACAACCAGAGCTTTCTCTCTCCTTCCAAATCAACTGACGGCATGAACTATACGATGCAGCACGATAGTACTGAAATTAGTCACTTGGAAATACTAAGTAAGCCATAGCCGTACGCACAGTATAAATAGTAAAATCATGACAATCTTAAGACACATTAGAATGGCATAAGAATGGTTACTACTCATGTGCAATAGCATTAGCAGTGAAGCCTTTAATATTCATAATACCTCAATCAAGTCTACCCATACAAAGAGTCCAGCCTTAGGGATAACGTATCGAATACCTAATTCGTCAAGAGTTTGACGTACTATTTCGTAGCTTTCCTTTAATCGTCGACGCATAGTAGGGAAGTAAACGTTGTCGAGCCAATCTTTTAAAAAAATGTCAATTTATTCGCAAAATAAGTAATATTTCAATAAAATAAATCGTTACATCGTTACTGATTTAATGCAAAAGCTTACGATACCGTAATCAGTGATCATATTGGTCAGTTGTTTCTGTAAAATGAAAAGAGAGAAAAAGAGATAAATAAAGTATGTTCATTTCATTCCTAAATTTGTCCAAAGCGTTATATTTATTGCAAAAAGTGAAACTATACGGACTTGCGTTGGAGGTGATATTCCACTAAATCGAGAGCATGCTCCTACTGCTGCTCGAAGCATACTGTTTTGTGTCCAGAGTATTCCTGCACGGAGACCGGAACTGGCAAAGTCCTGCATAGAATTTTGTTTGCAAAATTAACGTATTTGCTTCAAGTGTAACGAAAATATTGCAAATTTACGATTGCTATTCACTAGAATAGGCACAGTGGCGGCTAATCCGCTATCGTTTCAGTCGATACTTCTTATATTATCACGTTAAAATTTGGTCAAGCCACAAACATACTTTACTGAAAGCCCAGATGAAATGGGTTCTCTCAGGATCGGGTAGCCTGCAATAAACGTTAATAAATTACTGTGGAAATGTTCGAGAAATCACACGTCAAACATACAATTTGCTAGCTTACTCATTAATCATGCTCAATACGCTAATAATATCAGCATCAGGTGCATGGTTGGATAAGTAATAGATTTCATCGAATATAATGTGCAGTTCATGCCTATTATGTCGAAAACAAGATAGGTTCCTAAGTTATCAGCTATAATTTTTTTTCCAGTATAGTATATCTAAAGTGAATTTGACCTATGAGCAAAGTCTAGATAATCCTTAATCATTTGCTTCGAGAAATAGGAGCCTGAAGGATTTGCAGGATTAGAAAATAAGAAGCCTTTAACTCTTTTTCCCTAAAATTAAGTAAAAGCTACATAATTAATTAATATTAATAACTATAAAATCTATTCAATTCGGTATTTGTTAATAAGAGTAATAACAAGTAACGATGGCATACAATCTCTTTAAAATGAACAAATAGCAACCTGCGATACTGCTTGCTGTAATGCTCTCTCTAAGGCTGGAACAGTTAATTGAAAAGGTTCGAAATTAGGTTCTTTAATCTACAATTCATGAATTGTAATCAAACTTTGAGCATTCGATTAGCAGCTTGTGATATAGTATCTTTTAGACTTGTTAAATTGCAGGCATACAGCTCCTCCAGCTCTGGAGCGTTACCTCAGACGTAAGGTTCACTGGAACCAATCGAGCTTCCGACATGAATAACAAATCAGATGCAAACGTGCCATAATAGGGGGATGGGACAAGCAAATATTCTATCAAAAATAATCACACCTTTAGTAACAATATCCAAACATATTTCTCATCAACTACTGGTAGTTATAATCTAATTTCCATTATCAGCTTTGATACGCCGATAATATACTAATAGGGATTGTATGGAGTACTACTGGTGATTAATCATAGTAAGTAAGTTCAGAGGTCAGATCTTTAAATTGATTTCACTATATTAAGGTTTATTCATGGCTATCAAACTCTGTAATAGTACCTTCTGGATCACATATAGCATTACCCATAATGCTAATTATGGATGATGCACCACATAAGCCAATTAGCTGTAAGAAAAGATATTTATCAGTGAGTAGTAAAATGATCCGGTTTGTTAAGTAATATGCCTTATACAACAAAATGCAATATATGATTATAAGATGCGTTTTAACGACAATTGCAGTACGTGTATAAAAGAAGTTCAATAGTATCATTTATGAGCGATCATACAATGAAGATTGGTAAAATTTTGATTTATATATTGCAATATATCCGAGTAAGCAATAATAGCAGCACTTGACATTTAATACAAACATCTATTTATCTCATTTGCAATGGTGTACCTCTTCCTTGCGTACAGGTCTTGGCGATGCTTTAAAATATTTGGTTAAGAAATCTGCCATCGCTTGGCGGAAACTATGCGGGTATAAAAAAAACTGCTGGTCAGAAGCTACGAGTATATTAGTATGATATTGTTATCAAAGTATATATGTTTTGGTACTTATTTCACTATTATATGGTGCTTCTTATAATTTATTTGGTATCAATTACATGAACATATCAAAGAAAACATCTTACTAATCTCTGCCAGTCAAGTCTCCATAATATAACATTTCTTCAGTAATTTCGATGCCCTCATTCAACTTAATCATAAGAAGGTTTCATTAATTATGTAAAACTATTCGCATACAGTCTATTTACTTCTTCAATCAACATTGATAAGATTGCGTCGTCTAAGCATTGAGGTTAGTACTTTGTTATTTTGCTACATAAGTTCTTAATTCTACAATTCGTACGTATACCCTATTATACGTATTGAACAATTTATCAAGTACGTCCTATAGATTAATTAGAAACACTGATGCTTACCTTGGGCAGTAAAATATCGCCAACTGTCTTGTTTTCGCTTATATTCATATTGATTATTCCCTAAACAGCAAGCCATTTTGTAAAGTTAGAGGGTATGATTGAGGATAAGGCTTTTCATATTCCGCGCAAAATGATATATTTATCCGGGGAAATAGGAGTCTTGAACAGTCACGTAACATGTTTATTAATTCATGAATCATTCTACTAACAGTATGGTCGTTACAGGAGTACATACGTATCTCCTTGTAGGCTAACTGATGAGGAATTGAAGTAAGATAACTATAAATGATTATTCAGTTAGACTATTATTACGATTAGCGTATGAGAACTGTAACTGCTCTATTTCTTTGGATGCCCTTCCACAATTCATCACTGGGCAATATTGTATCACTTCACTTTACCTGTGGATTCGATTCAGGGTCGTAAGGATTTTTCAGCCACAGCATATACGCTTCCAATATCACATCATCTTTAAATGTAACAATGTTATTGCCACGCTTGGACAGACAGTTTTGCTTCTCATTCGAATGAGTTGAGCTCATGGTGATGGAATTGAAAGGTAAAAATGACTTGGAACACGATAGATTTGAAGTCTTGTGCAGCTTAAAGTTCAGCCGTATAGCTTTAATGGTCACTGCGATGTAAGCCTGCCAAATAATGTATAGGAAGATAGAAAATGATCAACCTGGAAAGGCGAGCTCTGGTCTGTATAGATTTGAAGTCTTGTGCAGCTTAAAGTTCAGCCGTATAGCTTTAATGGCCACTGGGATGTAAGCGTGCCAAATAATATATAGGAAGATGGAAAATGATCAAGCTGGAAAGGCGAGCTCTGGTCGATAAATAGTTACTTCCCTCTCTAGCAATCTTTTTGACCCTAACACTGGTAAAAGCCTATAGTATAATACAGTATTATTCAATGTTCTCTTCATTTTTTGGAAAAACTCCACAGTTCAGTACTCTACTATAGTAGCACTGTATTATGCTCGGTTTTGACCTACCGTACACTACAGTACACTACAGCATCTATCATTGTAGTGCACACTGTAGTGCCCATTGCAGACTTGCACACTTTCTGCACAGTCATGGTCACGATTAGACCTGACTAACGATTAATCAATTTAATCAATTTTTCTATTTATGCAACATTTTGGAAATTATGGATTAATTCTTCGCCAATTGTCGTAAGAAATGCTTATAACTGGCTACAATACCTTAATGCTTGTGCATCAAAACAGTTCGGTTTTTTTGCAAAAAATGAAAGGATTCAATAACCATCCCTTGCAGGCAATGACCGTGATATTACTGTAACATGGAAGATGGTGTCGCTATGCACATTTTTCACTGCCAATTTTCTGATAACCATAGCTACAGATGCACTTCTAACATGGCAGAGAGGGTCCAGACGCACATTTTTCCTTGCCAATTTTCTGATAGCCATAGTAACAGATGCACTTCTACTCTGTGCCTCAGACTACTAAAAGAAAACCGTTTTCTTTGAGTAGTCCATGTCTGTACTCAGTGTGCTTATTACTTTATATTCCCGAGGCTTTATACAGTAAGAGGAATACGAGATGATAATGTCAAAATTTTAACCTAGTGCTCAATAATTCGATATAGCAAGCAATTATGTCAACCCTTACTCTTTATAATTCCAGGATTATAAAGTACTAAAAAGAGTAAGGAATTATTAAGTTTGTGTTCAACCTAACACTAAATAATAGTTCGGTCAAGCAGGCAATCATCGCCCGTATTATCTGGGAACTCTTCTCTTTCAGAGCTTTAGAATCGGCTGATTTAGAAATCGAAAGCAGCGATTATGACAACATGATGATTTTATATGATAGACAGCGTGGTCAGTAAACTAATACCAACAAGCGGATGTGTAGCCATCAATTCAGACACCGACTTTATTTATTGAAACCACATCTATTTTAATTACGGTTTTGCAGACATTTACTTCTGATTCATGGTCGATCGATTGCAGATTTGCGCACTCGATATGGTTATGAACGATCGTTTCAGAGACGTTCTGTCGCTCATCTTAGTCGTAATAGCAAGCATCAACTAGTAACTTCAAATTGAAAATGTATTGCTTCATATTCTAATTTCATCTCAAATCTATTCTATGAAATTGAGTAACGCTCACGGCCATTGACAGACTAACTATCATTAAATGTATACGGTAGAAATTTGACCAGATCCCAATACTTAATATATTAATTACAAAAGCTTCTTTAACATATCCATGGATTATACATAATCTGTTCTCTTATTGTGCCTAGCTTCGCTGTATCATAACCCAGATTATGAAACAGAGAATAAACTCAGAATTTATTGATACTAGTACTTAAAAATTTTAAACTAAATAATACTAGAAAAGAAAGATGTTTTTATTTCATAGTTGAAGTAGTATTATGGAATAGCAATGCACATACGTAAAGATACCATATCCCTGACTAATTTCAAATAGTAGATTTGAACTCGCGGAGGCCACGTTATATGCTGTAGTAATAAGTTATTATCTTCGAGCATCGAATACGTGAGCCAAATTTTTTTCTGTTACTAATTTTACTCTACCAAGGAATTTACCGGAAGGAGTATGATATCTCTTTAATTATTAATAATATTAATTGAATAATTTATAGCTTCCTTTACTCTACGCTTTAGATTCAATTGAATTACTGTATTAAATTATTTTAATGTCACAGTAACCCTTCAATAAGCCTTTCAATGACCTTGACAGTGAAGTTAGTACAAAGGCAGTGTCCATGCTGCAGTCACGCGAGATTAAAGTTTATCAAATAATTAGACTAAAAGTTTACTGGTATGTTGTATAGTAACAATGCTATAAATTGTTGATATTCATTTTTCACATAAATGATTAACTATTTGACAAAAATTCGTATTCAATGCCTGATTTAATTGCACACCTGATCTTTTACAACTCAATGTCATTAACAAGGCAGTAATATGAAAAAAAACTGCAGTCAACTATAATCATTTCCCTGTAATTACCTACCAACCTGAGTTGACGTAACGAAGAATAAATTAATTTCGTTACGAGAAAATAGGTAGAATTTTTAGTGAGAATGATTGCTGTGCTTGGTAGGTAGTCTATGGTTCTTTCGAGTTGAATACATGTTCATCATATCATTAACGGAAATAAATGCAACTGAAAAATATCTAAATGTGTCAATAATTAAAGTTTGCCCTTGAGCTATTACCTGAAATCTACAACATACCATATTTACCATTTGTTATTGGACTTGGCATATTTTAACTATTGCAGACTAGACGTGGTGCCGTACACGAAGAGTCAGACATGTATCTTAATGCCACACTTTCTACAATTAAAAGCGAACAGAAATTACTGTTCTCACCTGAAACAATCTCATTATTGTTTCTATCAACGATAGCTATTGTTGGTAACTTATTTAACTTAATAGTAATTTATAAATCGCCATTACTGCGTTCTCTCGATAATATTTTACTTATCGCGTTATTGATTACTGGCTTTAGTACTGGATTAATTCTTATTCCTTTAATATTATTGGTAAAGTTAACGGGTAATCATGTATTATGCCAAATACAAGGATTTGTAATTACGCTTTTAAATTGTTGCTCGTTAACTTTAACAGTTGCTCTCAGTGTCGATCGTTGTCACGCTGTTATAAACCCTTTTAGCTATTTGCGTCAATCTAATAAGGCCAAATATACAATAATCATTCTTTCTATAATACTGTTTAGCAGTATGATCTCAATATTTCCAATATTAGGCTTAGAAAGATTCGGTTTAGGTAAATATATTCTGGGTTCGATCTGTTGGTGTTCACTTGTTATCGATCAAACTAATGTCACAATTCTAACATTTTTAGTCTCGGCTATGATTATCCATATCCTAATAATTATCTTCTGCTATATTATACTCTTCGCTATTGCATATCAGAAAGGACATCAAGATCTATCAGGGTCTTTTGGTATTAAGACGCCTTTACGAACTGTTATTTTAATTGTAGGCATGAATATGATTTGTTGGATACCCATGATAGTAGTCCTATTACATGGAATATTTCAATATAATCATGGAAGTACGAACGCTACATTACCCTACTGGCGAATTGCAGCTAATATTTCGTTCTTTTTATTGGACGCCTATATTGCAGTTAATCCGATTATTTATCTAACTACTAATTCGATTTTACGTAAAAAATGGATCTATTTAATGAATCTATTATTATGCAATGGCAGGCTGGCTTCCTCTAGAAATTTGCAATTGCCACAACGTCGAAGCTATAAAGTATAATTTATCCATTCATAAAAGTTTCATATACTGAGCTATGAAATATTTTCTATTAATCCGGCTATTTACAAGACCTTAGTACTGATTAACCACGTTTCGTTAAGAGTGTTAATTAATATGTTGAACTGATATCAATGAAAATTCAGGGGTGGATGATTCGCAATTGTCAACCGTTAATAAATAAAAGATAGCAATATATTGGCAACCATTTTTGACGGGATTGGAAATAAAATGGCTTTCTTTTCGCGCGTAGAGTACACACAAAGCTAGCTATATTAATTAAGAAAATCTAGCGTTTACATTAAATAACGCATATATGAATGTTAATGTTGGAATGCGTTATAGGATAATATACTGATACTGATTTGGACGCGCAGAATTATTGTATCGCAGATCTCGATGTAATCTTTATTTAAAGATGGATTTAAATCCACTCCTGCCGTATTTATGTGCACGTTATACCAAAAACATGTTATGCACGAAGCTGTCAATCATGAACGATTAACATTATAAATATGTTAATGTATGAAGATACAAATAGATATCAATATTAGCTTATAATAACGACGTTCTGGAGTCATACACTTAGATAATTAAATTAAAAGAAACGTTTTGCATGGATATTATAAAAATTAACGTTAATAATAATTCCTACTGTAGAGGAGCTATTATATTGACTACGAATTCGTTCTAACAATATATAATTAAACCGGCCATCATACACGTATATGGTAAACAGTTACTTTAATTTGATGACTAGCCGAAAAGATATTTTATAAATCCATATTGTAATATAATTTTTATGGAAATCCGGAAAGGTTAACGTATGTTAAATATATTCAATAAATAGCGAAGAAAGATAAAATTCATGCTAAGGAAAAGATGATTTAAATTTATGCTAAAGGCTTTTCTTTTTATTTAATCGTGCTGAATATAATACGCTAACTCGTTAAAAGCATTCTTTTATAAAATTTACTAAAGTTCGATAAGTAAACTATTTAGTGTTTACATACTTCATTATCATATCGTTGAGTCATTAAAGATTTAATTTAGGGTCATTATTAGTTAGCTAATGGAGAAGGTTGGCTACAGGCCTTTCTGAAGAACTTCACCTAATAAAGTGAAATATAATTTCCCTTTAGTGCATATGAAACCCTTTTTATAAGTATCAAGTACTATATGCTGCGTTGCAGCTTACACTATAAATATCTGCAGCTTTAATATGGCTGGCATTAGCTAGCGCGGTAAAGATATAATTTTCTTCAAATCTATAAATCTCGTTCTTATCCGCGTATTTGATCGATAAAACCTAATTAAGAAGCCTTAAGGAACACCTACCTTTAATCTTACAGATTTTATAACAGTTTATACGCTTTAAATTAGGTGCTCTTGAGAAATAACCTTAGTTATTACGAAATATCAAGTTCATTTTCAATTGTGTTTTATCATACTGCAGTATCGGAAGGAGTCTTTCCACATTGAAGCATAATTATTTATTAAATTAGAAAATTTAATACAGTTTCTCTGTAAGCAAAAAGACGAGATATTTATGCTAGTGTTTCTGAATGGGAACTACCTAGTAATCGAAAGAAGGCAAGGTCACTAAATTTTATTACCTTTATGGTTAGATAGCAACCGTGGTGACGATACAAGTTTATAATACAGCTTATAATTTCTAACTGAAAATGATTGAAATCCTGAGGATGTATGAATTTAAAAAAGCAGATCTTAAAGAAAATCAATAAATTTCGAAATTCGGCTTTATTATGACATAAAATCTTGATAAATTATCAGCTATTTGTATTATTAGATAGGATAATTGCTGCAACTCAAGGTATAAATTTATAGCACATACAGTAAGAGCAATAAACCCAAGATAAGAAAATATAAGCTATTAAATTATTAGCATTGCTTGTATTGTATGCTTAAGTACAGACTAGCAAGCTGACTCATCCTAAAGGTAAACTTTTAAACAAACATGACGAAGAAAACAGAATCTTTGGCGGTGGAAGTTACGTACTTTGGATTCAGGTCTGGGAAGGCATCACGTGAAATATTGCTTACAAGTCTAGTGTTAATAGATTGCGTAATCACCTGCGAAAATGTAAACTTTCTATTCATATTAATTTAGAAATAACAGAAATGAATAGCATAGCCGTATACAAATAAAGAAAAATTCATGATGGTGAAATGCTTTTGGTGAATAAGTCGTAAGTATGCAGATCATATTTTTATGGAACTCTAATATCTGTCATAAATAAAAGCATTAGTAATAATGACGATTTAGGTAAATGTATAGTGCTTCCCACATATTACGAAGTATGAGATACTGTAATTTCAAAATTATATCCTAAGATTGTATTTTAGTTTCATCTTTGTGCCCCAAATTGTGAAAAACTAACTTACAATTTCAGTCGTGTTATCATCATGTAGATGTATACAGCTGTAAAATATTACAACTGATGATGAAATACGTACATCTTTTAGCGATAACTTAAAAGTTACACCAGTTGCAAGCACTTTCAAGTAAATTCAAAAAGTGTACTATAACCGGTTACTGTTTCTATTGACGATCATAAAAATTCCTTACAATATTTATTTAAATTTGCAACTAAATATATTGTGTCAGTTAACATGCTGTAACTTTCATGTTCTCAACTGATTTGCACTTTGGACATTGGCTTCCTAGTCTGGATGTATGGTGTTGGTGGTAATACATCAAGTAATTAAAATTTTATTACTAGATATTATGCTAATCACACGAATACGTGATAGTTACCCATTATTGAGAGTATACGACCTTTGCATTACCCGAATTTCGCAAACATCCGCTAGTAAGAGTGAGTAGTTTTAACGGTTAATGTACCCTAGAGGGCTAATTATATCAATCTAAAGAATAGAGTTGCTACTTTATAATTATTCGCATGTATATCATAAAAATATGATATCTCTATGTTATAGGTGCAGTAACCGCTCAAAATTGGACTATGTGTTAGTTCATAAAACTTGATTGTAATTGTATTGATAGGAACGTGTCAGAGAGATCTGGTGATATATCGTAATAAAGTATTTTTAACTGCAGGATTGCTTAACTTTTTGTAGCCGATACGGTGGTCTGTAGCAACATACTAAATTATCTACTTTGAACGAAAGACTTAATGATAGAGACAGAGCTTACCATTATAATAAGATGAAAGCATTGCTGATTAACCGGATTGTTTTATCATCTTGTTAGAATTACGACACATTTAATATCTAGATTGGTATTTAACATGAAAAGTCTGAATTTTTATTATCCACAATTACAGAATTGGGCAAATTAAAATTAAATGATAAGATTAGTATTATCAAATTGTACAAGTAGAATTCCAGTGAATTACGGTGGAAACAGAAAGCCCTCGAAATGGATATAGTTACATTATTTTATTATCATATTCTTTGATGTTTGATGTACTTTTATGCCCATATTGAAGTTATAACGGCTGGAGCTGCGAAAACAATTATATTATAGTGGGAAATAATAATACAAAAATATTGGTACAGTTAATGAATTAGCTCAGCTAAATCAATAAATAGTGATAATTACTATATGTATCGTAAGTAATGATCTTTAGGATAATTACAATTTTAGAGGCAGCAAAATTGAAGTTTATTATATTATTACGTAAATTGAACCATTTTATGGAAATCATTTGGAGTGCTTATTGTAGAATGTGATCGTTATCTCTCAAATAAGAAGTATTTGGATGATGGTACAATCGCGTCTACTGACTTCCAAATTAATCTAGCCTGAAAATTATTTTATCAGGTACAAGTAAATAGGCAACTTTATATCGCTATAAATCAGACTATTCGATAATTAGAATTACACTAATGTGATATGATTCGATCGCTTTAGGCTTATGATTGCAAGTATATTTATATATATTTTAGATTTTAATTTTAGTAATTGTGAGAGCTTGAACCGTTTAATTAAACAGGTACGCTTTAACACATTAAATAAAATCGAGGAGAGTTAAAGATTACGCAACCTTGCAGAAGATACACGGTAACGTCTTACTTCGCACAAAATGTAAAGAAACAGACGAAACATCATTCGTTCTGATTGATTTTGTCTATTTCAAACTGAAAGTATGCTTGTGAGATAAAGGGAATGCCATTGGTATTATCGCATTAGATACGAAAACGAATGGCTCGATTTTTCCAAGTAATGTCGATAATCCTCCATGGTATCTGATTCCTTATTCTCGATAATATGCTTGTTTTATAAGTATACTTGTGGATCTTGCGCAGTTTTTAGCATGTAATGACGTACTAATTCATTTTAGGTACAAGCATGAGAAAGATATAAGGTTTAATGGCGATAATAACACCAAGTACACTATAAATTATGGAATTTAGATCAATTTTTTGAATCCATCAAACTGAATAAGCAGTAGAATGAGATCTTGGCCTTGGCTGATATTTCTCGGATTGTTCAAGACACGGCGCACTTTGATTACGTTTTTTAAACGAAGAAATCCTTTGGATCATACGAGGTACCTTACTTGTTTCCGTAATTTGAACCTTTTCTTGCAGAACACATCGTATTTGATTGACAACATCGTGGAATATACTACGAACACGATATGAGTTGCCTTTTAACGTTGCAGCACATTCATAAAATGAACAGCCAAATTCCCAAGCTAATTCTTCGCCTTCCTTTCGGCTGACCATACGTTGGTCAGTCAAATCAGTTTTATTAGCTACAATAACCAATGGCAAACTTTGTAGTTTAGTCTTTTTGCGACTAGTCCACCATTTCTTTCTCATAACTATTTGTTCGACAAACTGTCTTGCCATTTGAAAACTTAATCGATCAGTAACTGAGTATACAACAACAAATCCATCCATTCTTCTTAGATATTCAGATGGAATTTTACCATTGCTGTCCTATTTGGAGAAGGTGGATATTTAATCATAGTCGATTTCGTACTGTAGATAATTGCATACAGATCATAAACTAGTGCACTAACGATGTATAAATAGCTCTGAAACTGATCGTGATTATTGACCATAGTGTTATTTAAATCTTCTAATCTGAACTCATATCATAGATTAATATTTTAGGTTTAAATGACTTGAAGAATTAGATTAATCAGAATGGAATTAATTTCAGTATAATTTTTAATGTATTTAAAACAATCTTGGTAAATTTAATTTTAGATATAGCACAGTATATAATGATCAATGTGGTCATATACGGCCACCAGTTGATATGTCATAAAGAGTTGACTAAACAGGTAAAATAATCAGAGTTATACTAGTAAAATAACGTTGTAGACCGTGAATAAGCACTATGATGTCATAATCTCAATCTTTCTCAACTCTAATGCTTTAAATTTTTATTTATTTCAATGACAATAACAATCAATAGTCTACAAGCTAAGGAACGTCTTAATCATGTTATGGAACAATTGTTTGAATAGTCATCAATTGTCTGATTTTAATGTTAATTTTTTTTGTATTGAAAGTGGAGGAGGTTAAAGTTAGGCAAAGCATACAGTAAAGGTAATTTCAAGCATTGCCTTACGTTATCATTATTCCGCCAGATTGAAATCACTCTATTAATTGATAGCTACAGTATTCTTTACCATAAGCAAAGGATCGATTTTTAGTTAATGCTACTTACTTGGCCAATGGTATCCAAAATATGTAAGGAAGACTGAATGCCATCAATTTCGTCAGTTGTTTTGAAGACAGTTCCTTGATGAAAATTGTCTGAAATTAATGCAAATGAGATATGATTAATTCATTTACAACAACAATCATAGCAACAACATTAAACTTCAATTAAAAAACACTTGTTGATTAGATAAGAATTCGTATGGATTGTAAACTAATTGGTAAGTGAAATTGGAATGTATTTTCCAGATCTTATAACTTAAGTTAGAGGTATATAATCATCAAAATAATCTGATGTGATTGTGCTGGACCGAGATTTATTATTTTTATGTTATACGATACGTATTTTGATTTAGTTTTAAGCTTACAGAAAAGGTGTTATCATCAATTTATTAAACATATAGCGTTGATTCAATGTGAACAAAGTAAATAAACAACTTCACCACTGTGGGACTTTCACAAAGGGTATTAATATTGTTGTCAACATATGATGTAGTTTAATTTGATTCGATAAGAGTAAGCGATGTCGTAAGATTAATAAACTTCTTACATTCTGTTGTATCTAGAAAGTTCTAGCTAAGTAAAAATAGTATATTAATATGAAAGTGTTTTAGCATACAAAAACTTTATTTCTAGTAAATGAGCAAGTCAGTCATCAAAATAATGACGTAGAATTCACTTGCAGCTATTATTATGTTAATGACTTTAATAATTACGATCGAAGACAAGAAAAGATTATCGTTTAAGGATCATCATCTTGAACTATTGATTTAAGTAATACTAAATTTCATGATGTGGATTGATAATACCTCATTATAAAGTAGATTGAGATTGTAACTTTCAGCTGATAGAAATGGAATTAATCGCATCAAAGTGGTACATGATTACTGAACACTAATTTTTATATTTTACTGCATTATTGCTATTAAATATGAACTTATTCAATTCAATTCCGAAAGAAGGTTGGAATTTAGGTGATGGACTATCTGTTAATATTCTTGAAATAATTAGGAATGATTTAGCTAATCGTAGTAGCCAGGTCTTGAACTTATGCAATATCAGGCTTAAAGTAAGCCAAAAGAGCTAATACATTTATTAAGGACTAAGAATAAAGATAATTGTATAGAACAAATGACTCATCAATTGCTAATTAATGAGAACAATTACAGCTATTCTAATAATATTTGAGAGTATCCAGGCGTTGCCTTGGAATAGACTATAAACTAACCTTATTGTTAACGTCTATCTAGGAGATTATATGATATTAAGCAGGCCACATTTGCCTGTCTATGTTAGCTACGTGGCGGTAATATGATGAAAATTAATTGAAATATAAGCGAAATTACTTCTTTGACTATGAATTAACACTAGCTAAGAGACTATAACTTTATCTTTCTACTGCTAAATTTAAAGTCGATTTCTGTGAGTAAATTAATAATAATGGTAATTTGAAATACAGGAATGTCAAAATGCATTATGACAAATTAAACTAAGGACGACTGAGTTTCAATTGATGGTGATTTTGACCAACCATAGAACGTCTGGAAATTTCCTAATACTTTTACTTCTATGACTATTATAATAAAATGCTAATTTATGGTATCTAGATGCAGACAGAGCATCATATCAATATAAGAAGGATCTATAGATACGGTCTTATAAAAAATGCAATTGTATAACGTAACCCTTCTAACTTTATATTAAAATATTGAATTTCTAATGAAATGTTTAACACAGTCAAGTCTAGGCTATGTTTGCGCAGAGGTAGTAGTCGATTGGCCGTCTGATTATTAATGCATGTTATCACGTTATTCGAGAACGGCATGTTTATAATGTTATTTAAATAGATAGATGAGTTATTGACTTACTAAGTAGGACGTCGTTTTTATCTTGTTTGACTTTGCCAGTCGTATAGCGTTGTGTTAAAGCTGTGAAGGTAAAGAAATGCAGAAATGCGATTAATATCAGTGCAAAATATGTACAATCACTTTTTTAATAACTATAGTGAGTCCTGTTCAAGTTAAGAACAGTAGAGACATCAATTCATTCTCCTCTATCTCCTTTTAATCACGATCTAGCCATCACCTATGGCTTATAGATGAAAGCTTGCCGACGGTTAAAATTGTATATCATTAATGCAAAAATTGAGACATGAATAGTCTCTTTGATGATTCAGCGATATGTACATTGTTACGGAGAATGACTGATCATTATGTCCGAATCAGGTTGATTTTGAAACAATTGATTTTCTCCATCATCTACTGCCCTTGAACTAGTCAGTTTCAGACGATTGAAGAAATATTAAACCGTTCAAAGATCATTTTAATTTAATGTAAAGTCGATTTCCGTTCAACGGATGATACAAATAATGTTAGCATATTGAATTGATCTTTGCTACATCTCCAGATAATGATAGAAATAATATAATTAGAAGATAGCCATTGGTTAGTTGTTTCTATTGGATTATGCGATGACATATTATTTCCTTTACTAAATTTTATTCTATTAAGATCCTATGATTCTTAAGCGATATTGACAGTATCTATAAAACTCGATATTAAACTAGGAGACATTCATTTCTAATGACGACGTAAACAATCTAAAATAATTTTCGAAATATATGATGGAAAATATACTGCCAAAGTAATCACGTACTAAATTTATTAATTAGGAACCAATTACATATTGCTCCCTAAAACTTTGGACGAATGTTCATAAATCAAGTACTTTCTATATTGATCGAGGCTTAGATGAAAAATAAATTGTGTGTGGATTTACTTTTTTAAAGAAAGCAATAAAACTAAAATTTGTCGCAATGCTCATCATCTCATCTACAGAGTACCGTACTAATAGCTTACAGCAAATGGACCTACTAATAACTACTGGAATTTCATAAGTGATCCGTTGTTAAAGCAATTTATTATCAATTAAGGTACAAAAATTAACCAGAAAAGATGCAGGACTAGACTCAAATTAAAATACTTTGGTTATTTGGTTTATTAATTTATTTAACTACATTAATTTACAAATTGTTAACGCAAGGAATTTGTCATTTTTAACCGTAGAATTATCGTAACAAGTGTGGATAGGAAAACGCGATCGTTTAAAGCACTCCTCAAGCTGCTTAGATCGTAGGACTACTATTCATATATCGATAGATTTTATAAAGTCATGTAGATATCTGCTAGAACAGTATTTAATACTTTAGAGCTACAACTAAATTCTTACTCTTCTTACCTGATTTGCCGACACATTTTTTACCAACTGTGCATAATTTATAGTCGGTTATTTCTTCATCCAATTCAGATAATTGAATTTTCTTAGCGTGATGATGTTCTTCTGTTGCTGGTAAGCCAACATGAAGGCTAGCTGTAGGCAGCGAATAGGTTCTGTCTCTGATTGGCATGATGATTTTGATAATGTCAAATTAGTACTGGGTAACTGATCCAAGTAAAAGAATTTCAGTCTTATAATATCTTTAAATCTTGATCAAAAAGTCTGAATCTTGTCTCTTGATACGATCAAAATGGTAAGTAAGTCGGTAAGTTCTGGCCAGCAGATTATTGCTAGACTAAAGTATCAAATAGTATTTCTACAGGTTAAAAAACAGAGAGCAATTGATAGCTTCGTTACTTAGCTAGGTGAATTAGAATGCTTAGCTAACAGCCAATAATGGGTAAATTTATAGCTTTTGAATCAATGATATGACTAACAAATAGCATTGTTTCGGCGGAACCTTCCATTAATTATCAACTTAACTTGGACTTTTTGTTTGTTATTCTCATTGCGTGTGTCACAACAATAGAAGTAGAATAAATACAATTAACAGACTATCATGAAAGACATTATTTTATGGTATTTCTCAGATATATTGTAGATATAGAGATTGTATTAAAGAGTCTGTAGAGGTTTATAGACAAATGGTACCCGGGACGGGAGGGGGCACGTGAGGAATAAAAGACAGATATGTTTGATTATTTAATCGGCATCTAATTTGCGTTATATTATATCATGAATATTTTATCATATTAGCTTTATAGGCATTACATGCCGTAAATTGATACAAATGATTGATGATAGCGCAATCATAGCCGACTACGACTGGATCAGTGGATCCATGAAGCTTGTTAAAAATTAAATACTTTTGCTGGCTTAACGCTACTTGAAAATGACATGACGTAATATCATACATAAATGATGTCTGCGTTCATAGATCAAAGATCGATCTATAGACAGGATTGAAGAGAAGTAAAATTTTAATATCACTAAAACTGTATATGCAGGCTGATTTAAATTATTTGATAGGGTAAGCTTTGATTGGCATGCCTAAGTCAATATCAAAGGGGAAAAATTTAAACAACATCCATATCGCCATCGTACAAATTGATCACGGCATGTTTTTGCTGATTAAATTAGCTATCGACAAATTAACGAAGATAAAGTCAACAAGATAAAAAAGGAGACAGATGCAGTCAAAAATTTTAGATACCCATGCAAAACTGGCTAGACTATAACTTAACAAACAACAATGTAATTTAGTGTTGATAGAAGTTAATCAGTAGTCATCATGATTCGTGTCGGAAAATGATGAGGGGTATAAAGTTTTTGCATATTAGTTACATTGGATCAGAAATAATTAAATAATTAAATTACAGGAAAGGTTAATAGTGTCATCAATAGAATACAATGATGCTTTTATACCGCTAATACTTTATTTTCTTATGTTATCCGCTGTTGTATTTTAAAATCAGATATATACTCTCTATTTTACTATCAACACGGATTCAATAATAGAAAATTTAAATAAATTGACATAGGGGGTCATCAGGGATGCAAGATAATCCGAAACATGTTTTGATACGTATAGAGTAGTGTAACATAGAGAGATAGATAAAAGTCATAAAATTGAATGATATGAGTGACTCTAATGACTTAAATAAAGTATATGTAATATACTTATTCCAAGATAGACCGTACATGACGTAATCAATTTATACTTTATAATGAAATATCCATTAGGTTTTGATATAAGCAATAAATAATCAATGTATCCCGTATTTCTAGCGAACAAGAAGCATCAAGACACGGAAGTTAAAGTATTAGATATAGAGGAGATGATATGCAATAGCTTCCTAACTGATCACTTTTGCCGATTATTTTCGGTATTTTTCATAGGTAAACACCACAATCGCCGTACCCGTTGAATTATAAGCATTCTATAGTACGGCGGTTGCTATTGCTCATTAATTGGAAAGTGTTACCTAACAGTTTATATTCCATTTGAAACGGATGAAAATTACATGGATTACTTTTTTTAACTTGCCGCATTGGATATGGTAAATGACCTAATTGAATAATAGTAAGTCCAACTATTAAATCATAAAAGGCAATATAGCACATACTGTAGTATCAATTCTGTGAAATTCTATAGTAGAGTCAATTATGATCAAATAAAGCGAGCCATCTAGCTATACAGTTAGGCAATTAAAATGGGTGATGACATCAGCTACACAATCACGTAGTATCTTATACCAATTAATTTATCGTAGTGAAATCGTTTATTACTCAAGCATTCTATATAATATAGGTCCGTGTTTCGAATCTATTCTTATAATTGTTGCATATTTTATATAGGTATTATTAAGAATTATAATATGCACAGTCTTAACAAAGGGCTCGTTCTCTTAATGGACTTTTCTCGATCTTTGGCGTGTATGCGTCATTATCATTACTTTATTACAGGCTTTATTGATTTTTGAGATGCTAAGGTCTGCTTGATAACCTTCAATAAATAGAATCTTACAAAGTATATAGAAACTAGATCGTGTATTATTTATTAGGCTTTATCTCTTAACGTCATGTTCAGCATGATGACGAGGGTGATATGAAAATGATATCATTTGGCGAACGTGAAGAGGAGTTTGGTTTGCAAGAAATTTATTTCGACTGTGTATAAGATAAGATGAAAGGAAATAATAACGAAAAGCTGAACGGCCATCATTTGGATGATCATTTATTACGATAATTTAAATGGCGTCAACGTGATATTAGCTCTCGGAGTAATTTTGTAATATGTGTCTTTCAAGATTCTATTAACCGATATTGATTATTATTATTTATAATAACCATTATTCTTAGACTGTATTGTAACATACCGATAATTCTATGTTTTATTTTATTCGTCATGTTACAATTGAAGTTAAAACTTTATCTTATGTATTGACAAATACTTTTACCTTTAAGAAATAGGTATAAATAAGATATTTATTAAGTTATTGTCAAATGTAAGAAAAATAGCATAATAATTGATTAAGACTAAACTGCGATGTGGCTAATACTGCACGGATAGAATTCTGAGCAATATTTAATATCTATTATTATTAGTAGTAGTGCACATGTGGATCTACTGTACATCTATAGGCTCGTCAACAATCAAATCTGTGTTGTCGAAGGTATCATTTTTGTTGTTGTGACCACTAAGCTGTGGGCTTTAGTCTTTTATACGAGACTTTATATTAAACCGATAGTGATAAATTGTTATTGAAATTTGTTTCATCTTGAGCTAATCTACCGCTATAAATGCTGTAAATGACAATTCAAAACATAAACTTAATTGCTTGTCCCGACTTAACGATCTTATAGGCGCCATACGTTTATGATTACTCGGGTGTAGTCAGTTTTGTTTCTGCACTTTTGAAGTTAATACAGTCATAATAGTCTGAAAGTAAAATACAGACCTAACGACTATCTAGATGATTAATTGATTGATATAACATAGCTAACATTTCACCAGTATTGCTTATACCATTCTATACAAAATAAGAATAAATTGTTAATGTTTCAGGATTTAGCCTGAGATATTAGCAATGATATAGACCCTTCGCTTTAATTTACTTGCATTAATCTTATATTTTAACGCATCTAATTAGCTCATTTTACATGTCCGCAGCAGCTTTTCTTTTGAATATTGTAATTATGTACATTATTAGCTGTGTAATACGTCAAGATATCTTGAATAACAAAGTAAGAATAGTCTTTTAACGAACAAGCATAATATTTTGTATCAGTTAGAATAAAAAATTAAGCCAATAAGTAATGAACTGTAGGCAAGTGACCTTACTGTATTAAATATTATCGATAAAAGTTAATTGTGAGCGTGTAATCTAGATAATGTTTTGCCTGAGATAATAAATATAATCACAGAATTAGTTTGAAACATAGAACGTGACTAATAAATCTAATGACTAAATAAGATGTTAAATAAGGATTGAAACAAGGACAACTTGATTATCCAATAAATAACTTTATAACAATTTTTCCATATTATTAGCAATCTTGCTCTAGTATAGGCAGGTAATAGCTTCTGTAAAGATAAATTTTATTATAGACGAAGAACATAGTAGGATTTTATTTGAATTAAAGTAAACGGCATCAGATCAATGCTTATTGAAAGCTAACTTAGATATTTATATTTGCTAGAATAATTGTAAATTTCAAACTACTCAGATTCTCTTGCATATATAGAGTTTGTATCTGGTTGTATATATCAATTAACTTATATTATTTTTTAGTCAAGGCGTCCTTGTGGTAATTGCTTAAATTGTCACTGTAAAATAACTTCTATCAATCCGCTAACAAGCCAAACGTTGTAAGGAATGCCACTTCGAATTAGTTGTAGTAATATTTAGTGAGCAATAAATTGACGGCTTGAATTATATAGCCAGAACGTCAGTATATTTTCTTTGAGATTTGTTAGTTTTTGTACGCGATAGATTAAAAGCCGTGGCAAACAAATTGTTTAAATTAGTAACTAAACGGATTGTATCTATCCTTCTATACTAACTATTTTATTTAGATATTGCCAAGAAACTTCATTTTCCCTAAATTTTAACTTTTTATTTTATTTTTCATCCGTAAGCATCTGTGGAAATAATCATCCAATAAGGTCAACTAAATTCCGTCTCAGGTTAATATTTTACGCTAGCAGATTCTATACACTTTGAAATTATTTGCACGAAGAAAACGTATCTTTATTTTACAGTTAACAAGTGAAAAGAATATATGAAATGCGTATAATTTAAATACTTTTGAGGGTATAGGTTGCATACATACAAGTATAATACACACGTATAGAGTACATATCACATTCATAGCGGCAATTAAATTTTCTGCAGGGAAAATGAAAACTGGCTTGCACGGAGTAAATTTATTAAATGATTATTGAGAACCACCACCGCCGCCACCGCTACCACCTTCACCTCTACCTCCGCCTTGTGGATTATCTTGGGACATCAGCATCATGAATATAAAAGCAGGTACTATATACATCCACTGCACAAAAGAATCGAAAGTCAGTATGTATAGACAGTGATAAATGCCAACTCAGTTATGTTATCGTAAGATAAAATAATATATGCTTTAATTATTAACTTTGAAAATATTACTATGTATTGTGATTATGTATAATGGATTCAATTATTTTTATTTCCATAGATATAGCATCATTTTAACTTTCCATACATATTTAGCTAAAAAGGATTTTTTTTCGGTCTTTCCTTCTGCAGTCTTCGAACGTGCTTGCTCTTCCATCATACGAATATAATCTTGAGTGTCAGGGCTAGACAATATTCAAGAAATATTGTAGTACAATGTGAATTAATCCAATTTTTAGTGTAAAAAACAAGTCAGCCAATAATAATTATAGAAATAGTCTACCTAGGAGTGGCTTGCGGAATGCGAATACTTGCAGTCGTTTTAAATTCGTTAGCAAATCGCCGGTCTTGCTATGTATCAAATCATTACGTTAAAACAATTACTTTTAATCGCCATATTTATTAACTTTACGAATACATTTTTATAAGTGTGAAAGATTGACAATCATAACATACATCGAATTCGTTTTGATCACAGTACGGAGGATTCGTGACCATCCAGATCGACAACACTTTAGCTGGTAAATTAAATAATACAGGTTATTGTTAATGAAGTATAGAATTGCTAGCTATGATAACAATAAGAAGTTAAGTAATTTCATGAAGTGTAGCTCCTTACATATTCCATCGGTATGAATAAAAATTTCATCAGTGGAATTTAATCGGTAAACCGAGCACTGTTAAGATTGAAAATATCAAATCACTATTTCATTTCTCAATTGCTGAAGATTGAACGTGATAATTAAGGGTAGCTACTGATTGTACATCTATCCAAGTACGTAAGGAACTACTTGAAAATCAGGAACGAACCGCTTTTACAAACGATGATACAAAAGTGTTATTAGAATTTGAAATCATCATAGGAATTCTAATACGATATAAACCACCTCCTGAAGATAATACCTGCAAGTTAAGTTAAGAGATAGCAATGAAATAATGAAGGATAATATTGTTAATAATAAAATACAGATTGAGTTGCGTTTACTTACATCTAATTTTTGAAGTTGATCTGAGGATAGCGTAACCTGATCAGTCATGCGAGCGTCGGGAGATTTAAAAGACTTAAAGGCCAAAGTTCCTCTGAAAGTAAATCAAACATATACAATTCTCAGGAAATAAGTTTCAATGATTTGTTTATTTTTTCGATTACAATATATTATTTTTGCAGTCTGATTGCTCGTAGAGGAGCAAACAGTACATAGCGTTGACAAGAGCAGCAAACTACTGTACTGTACTAATATTAATTTTATGTAATAATATTAATTAAAATTTCCAGTGTCTAGTTTACGGACATCATTTTCTTTATAATGTGGTAACATAGATATTACTATGATATATCTATTACTATCTTTGAATTGACAATCCATATTGGGTGCTTAGGTTCAGATAGAGTTCTAGGCAATTTGACTGCATATTTAGTCGCTATGTAATTTAATGGTTATAATGGGCGTTTAAGTTTGGGATCTCTTTGCCGCATTTTCCTATGACCTTGCTACTGTCTGAAGAGACATGAGTACTTGATGATGCTTGGCAAGATCAAGTTCAAGATTGAATATTTAAAGTGGATAAGAGCCAACTTGATCGCTTTTCATCAGTATATATCTAATCACTAGTTTTAGTCGTTGCCATTACAGTACAATTTTACATTTATCATCTCTGTAAACGCTTAATATCCAGTCTTTTAGTAATACATTCTCTACAACTAATATGCATACTGACGCAGATTGATATACTGTACTTTTATTTACTATTTGCTTTACCTGAGTGTAAATTCACCATCGCCTACACGTGAAGGATGCATGAAGAGAAGGAAAGATGAATCCAACGTCAATAAGATTAGGAGAACAGTCAGATCAAGAAAAGTCCTTGACAACAGGATAGATTATAATAATGCTCTACGCCTAATTACTTGACAATCTCAATGGGTCTATCATTAATTAAGGCATGTAAAACAATATCCTAACCAGCAAACCTAAAACGATGTAGCATAGGCTTATTGACATCCCAGTGATGCCAGTGTACATGTACAATAGTACCATCGATAGAAACAAAGTACTTTACTTTTCAACATATTTACCAAATGCATGCTCGATTGGTAGCATCAAGGAGAAGGGTCGTTCTACAGGAGTATCGGCAAGGCAGTCTACCTAGTAAGAAAACTTGATTCTATTAACACATTGCCATTAGCAACACCAACAACTACTGTAGTGTATCCATTGTGGCTAGAAAAGCACTGTCACAGTATTTGTATCCTCCATCAGCATTGCAACTAAGTTTCCACAACATCATTAGGCTCCATTGAACGTATTGAAAGGCAATCATGATCATCACCATGGATCAATGAAACATTATGGGATGAATAACTATGACTCACTTGTTGTAATAAGTATACCGTTGACAGTATCAGCAGTAATGGAGCTGAAAGCTTGTCCGCCATCTTGGTTTCATGAGGTTCAGGCTTCACGGAATCTCAAGGGGATGAAAGTACAGATGGTACAGTACCGTAGAGTACAAAGTCGTTTGAACTGCCAGAGTGCAAACCGGACTGGGCAAGTTGTAAAGTACTGTACAGAAGGTCAAAACCTCTACAGTAAAGGTTGTCTCATAAAAAATCTACGACAATTGAAATGATATGAAAACGTAATATCATGACTAAATTAGACAAATTTGCTATCAATCAATAGCTTAGATGTGTAAAAATTAAACTATCGTAATAAAAAATATAAAAAATATCAATTTATATGTCAAAGCTCTACCATGACTCTACAGTACTAAGTGAAATTTTAGTCAAATCCTCAGAACAAAAGGATAGAGTACAGTACAGTACAATTAGAAGTTAGAACTGCCAGACAGCAAACCGGACTGTTTAGAGACTTGTACTGTACTGTACTTCGACTGGAGAAAGGTTCAGTTCGGTTCGGTTCGGTTCAATACCTTTATGATTTACTGTATGTACAGTATAAGAACCTGAATCTGAACCGCTTTCGAACCGGACCGTTCTCAGGTCGGCAGTTGTACTGCGCAGTACAGCAGGTCGAAACCTCTACTGTGCAGTACTGAAGTGCACTTTTCACGAATTTACGGTACGTCACTCCGACAGACGGACTTTTCCAAGTCCAGTATGACTGTACTGACTGTAATAACAATCATGGACTATTAGATACTAGATAGGATACGGTATAGAAGACTATTACAGAGCGTGACCAACCCTGGAAAATAGTTGAAAGATGTTCAGCGATAGTGTTGCTTTAAATTATGTCCTATCAATTTTGAAGAAATAGACTTTCAATTTGCCTCCAATTCCTTGCAGACAGATCAGTACAACCTTAAGCAATGGGCTCTTGATATTTTGATTACTGTTTATGGCAGAATTGAATCATTGGATTTCTATCAAGTTTCTAATACAAACTATCAGTCGCTCCAACTATTTTACATAGTCACGTCGTCATACCGGTCGATAGTATCCAGTAGTCCATGACTTACTTTCCAAAAAAAGGATTCAATTCAAAATCGACTGTCTGCATACTAAAGTACTGTCATAACCAAGTCTTTGGCTGTAACATGAATGGATAAGAATAGTGACTAACGTCAGTACAGAAACCTTATCCAAGAAGGCAATGACTAATGTGGAATATGCAATGTGTAGTGATCACTCAGTACAGTACACTAATTTAGTAGACGATGCACTGTCATGTCGGTACACGAAGGACCAGATGTAGTTTAGCAGACTATGGTGTAGGAAATCTCACTCGATCAAGTCTCAACTCTTATTCTCCAAAACACGCGTAGAATGTTCTTTTGCATGTTTTACTCTGAACTCAGCTTCTAACTATATGCAACGTTCAAAGATGATTGCAATAATGTCAATTGAATCGTTTTCTTGCAGTGAGCCAAGAAAAGAGGAACAGTAAAGTGTTGACTATTCAGCATCAGCGTTGTGCAATTTTGTCGGAATAGCAATACAGTATGACTAGATATGGATCACTCGTCAAAGACGCATTCTTCTGATGGTCCATGAAATAGAATGACATTGAATGTTGTTTGAGTAGAAAAATCTATTTACTACAGATGAAACATTCAATGGTTCTCAATAAACTTGTCATACAAAGCCTTGTGACGAAAAATATCCTATTCATGGATAACGAAATAAGCTCGATTTAATTATAAGTATCGTAGAAGTTATATGGTTGCAGTTATCATGACGTGCTACGATTTAGAACATAATACTGTAAATAGAAATTTGTTCACTTTCTTCCATCATAAAATTCAGTAAATTGGTGGATTATACGACAAACTGCCTGCGTCTCATCATCATACCAGCTATCGTCTACTACTGTTACTGGCAGTTGGCAGAATAATATTAATTTACCCTTAGTATTAATTTTTATTAGTATGATTATACAAAGTATCGAATGCTGGCTGATTGCAACGATATAAAAATAATAAAATAAAATCATTCTTTAACTAGGACCATTACATTGACTACAGATACCGCGGCCTTCTGTTTTCATAGTGTTCCTTCCACTTTAAAATGTCAATTTTATTGGTGATCGTCGATATTTTGAGGCGAAAGTCGTATTAATCGAATCCAAATATGGCAATGCATAGGATGACATCAAAGTTAACCTTAAATACTCCCAAATTCTTTCCACTGCCTATTTGATTTGTTGTAAAAGCTGTATGCGTTCATTAAATACTCGTCCATTCATAGCCACGACTACAGTGTCAATAATAAGGCACTAAAATAATGATGCGATACAATTAGTTGACCCCAGAGAAGGTCAAATCTATTCCTTATCGTATGCCTACGATCTTTTATAACACTAATCTACCCATATCTGTACATTATTGACAGATATAATTAACAGTGGTTGATATTTGACTAGTATTGGCAAGAAGTTACTGCTATTTGTTGTAATTTATGATCATGGACGCAATAAAATATGCTATGAAATTCGCTCATTTGCGCAAGAAGATGCGATAATAAAGATTGTACATATCGTTTGGGCAATATCGAATCAGCTCCTATTTTTATTTCAATGCGTCAATCAATAGATTTAAATTATAAAAGTGCCGTATTTAAAGCGGCAAATTCACCGATATTTTCTCGCTCTCATCCATTAAGAGACGATGGCGAAATTTCACTACCTTATTAGATTTCGTCATTTCTATTTATGAGATTGCAACGAGGGCTTTTCCTGTGTTTTCCTTGTTTAAATTATTATTATACGTACAGTAGATGCGCCGCCACTTTATCATGCATAGTGAAATTTTAACTAATAAACAATTCTATTCGGTGTAGTGCCAACTGGTATTCGTTTGTTTAATTAGATGCGGCATAGAGGAACGAAGAATGAAAAGATGTTAATTGATTTTCTTGATTGAATTTAAAGCATAAATAAGGATTGTATGAATAAAGATTATAGTGCAAAAGAAAGGAAGTGATGGCGTAGTTTTATAGTAATATGCATTTGTGATACTATTGTATGAGGGCTCGATATTGAAAATCAAATACAGTAATCACTACAATTGCATTTAATGTTTGCCTGAATTGGGTTAGAATAAAAAGTAAATTATTTCCAATTATCTCTTACAGTGTTTATTACCATGTGATTATATAGCCTAGATTGAAATCAATAGAAAGACAACTTTGTGAGCATGGTAGTGTAACGGTTTGGATAGAATAAAGTATGTTAGTGGGCCGTGGCTGATGATAAAACGGTGAAGTACGGTATTCGCTCTTATGCCAAGTACTAGAACCGGGACTGACAGCTTATAGACTGTACCCAAATGTGTAAGTCGGTCTAAGATCAATAATTTACGAACCTGACTTAGTAGTAGTGAGGCTATTACATGCAGAGCACTCGATTTTTATCCGTTTTTGTTGTATTGGTTTAGGATGCGAGTGTAAAAGAACCTGATTTAATTAATTAATTCAAAAAATATGACCGCGATAAAATTGCTCATTAACGTCCGATATTTATATTTTACCAATTCGGTTAATATGTCAGGAATCAAGCTAATCTTTCAGTTGCACGTAGATAATGCTGTGTGTGATCACTTATCCCATCAGCTACGTTGATAAAATGGCGATTCAAAATTTTATTAATAAAAACTTTCGAGATTACGATATAGTAATGTCAGGCAGAGGAGATCTTGATTTACTCCAATAATTTTATAGTGGAAAAAGTACAAAAAAAAATAAAAATCGTCCGATATAGAAAATGATCTTAACAATGGCCGCAATAGTAAAATAGTTATAAAGTAGTGATATATTTAATAGCAGTCCAAAAAGTACATATGTGCAAACTCGCGAGTGAGATATTTTACTGGTCTTTCAAAACAATATACAGTATGCACTATTCGCTTTTGTCCAGTTATCTTCAACCTATAATTGCTGCAAGGTCAACATACAACATATACCCATATTTTTAAAATACTGCAACACTGTAATAATTGTTCGATGAGACCTTGACCAAAACGTATGATGGTTTATATTAATACAAACTTACGCACGTCGATATTTTTCAAGAAGATTTTTCTCTCGAATGCATCAGTCCATGACATTTTTATTCTCGTCCATTAATCAAGCTGATATGAGTTCTTTCTTCCAAAATTTTATTTACTCATTTCACGAAAGAATATCAGATGATGTTCTGAAATTGAATTATTTTGTTATTGATTCTTATTCGTACTGAAATATTGCATATTTTAGCATTTTTATCTTATTGAGGTGACTTTATCTTGAAATAAACAGAGTATGAGCTGCGGCTTGCGTTAGTTCTAGAATCATTTTCAAATTGATTGCTGTATATATTATCGGCTCACATTTTTTCTTTTATAATTACTATACTGCTGTAAAAGCCTATAGAATTGACGATAAATTTTAGTTTTATAGTCATCTTTTATTCGTTGTGTCGTCTCGTTCATCCATTTATATGATTGTTACGTAGATTAAGGCTCCAATCATGCAG